AAATCAACTCCAGCTGCGGCTGGACCTCAGCACCCCGGAGAGGCCCAAGAGAAGCCGGAGAGCCCTCGGGGCCGGAATGGGACAATTCGCCTCGCGCCCCTCCAGCCCCTCCGGTCCTCCAGCCCCAGCCGACAAACACGGGTCTTTAGAGCGGGCTGGCCGGACCCCCGGCCCTCCCTCTCTGGCCCCTCGACCCGAGCGATTCTCACGTAGGGATGCTTTTACGAGGGGGGGGGGGTCGCTCCAAGGGACACGTAGCCGCAGCCACTCTGCCCCCTGAGCGGTGGGCTTCTGGGGAGCCGTGGTGGGGCGGAGTCCGTCGGGATCGGAAGGACGGTTCCTTTCTAGGAGAAGGGAAGGGTCCCACGCACCCCCCCCCCCAGACCCGCCTTTCCTTTGAATGTCCTGGCAATTACCAGGAAAAATAGAAGTGGCTTTTCTTCTTTTGTTTTACAAAGATGCAGGAAAGGGAGACCCTTGATTTGGCCGCCCAGAGAGTCGGGATGCAAGCGGGCTGCGAAAGGGGGGGGGGAATCTATTTCGGCCACGCTATGGATGAGATGCAGCTAGGAAAGTTCCCACTGCACTGACCGCCAGAGCCCCGTTGGCTCTGCCCGCGGCTGCTTTTCATGCGTGCAACCTCACGTTGAAGCGTGTATGTCTAGATCAGAGGCTCCAACCTTGGCCCCTTGAAGACTTGTGGACTTGAACTCCCAGAATTATGCTCGCGGGAGAATTCCGGGAGTTGAAGTCCGTCAGGCTTAAAGCTGCCAAGGTTGGAGACCCCTGGGGTCGGCAGATGTGCAGAGGGCTGAGGGGCAGACCCAGGGCAGCCTTTTCTTAGTGGGTCTCGATGACGACCTCATTTTCAATAGATGTATGGGTTCATGTTACATCTTTTCTCATGCAGCGAATGACACAGTAACATGAGCTGGGGATGCAAATCACAGTTGCAGAGAGTCATTTCAGTCCGTGCCAAAGATTTTCTCCCAACTCTTGGGTCACACAAGGAAAGACTCCCAAAAAGCCAACACCTGCAGACACCCACATTACCTCATTCAGTACTTTGTTTTTCCTGCTGTCTCCGAGCCCAACTATGTGCTGTATGTAATCCAATAACCTCCTAGAAAATCCAGCTCCAAGCTGTTTCTGCATGGCTTTTCAATTCAATTCAATCCTTTATTGAACTTCTGCAAGGAAACCCCCCAATTCAAAGACACCACAGCTCAACCCTGAGCCACCAATCTTGCGCTCTGTCGGTGTTCAGAAACTACCCACTATTTTATTGTTTCTAATCACGTGCATTTATAGTACCTCGAGCCTAAGCTGGCCTGAAAAGCATGCACAGCCCCTGGGTGACGTGGTAGAAGACCCCAGGGCACGGAGGGAACGCAACCGCTCGAGACGGGCATTTCTCAAAATACTCTTCTTGCATCCTTCCTGTCCCTTGAACTCTGGGGAGGGGCCACCTGCCTCCACCTCTTTCCTTCACTGTAACCTTACCTGCCCAGGTGTGACAGCCTCTGATTTCTTTCTGGGCTTGCTGGGGACTCAAATGCTCAACGGAGAGAATTGCTGTAATTCCACACCTTCCCAATCTTTTCTTTCAACTTCCCCTCACTTTGCGGTACCCCCCTCCCCCAACACAGAACCCACCGACAGAAACAGTTGCCAAGGGGTGAGGATTGTTGCCCTCCCCCCCTCCCCACAAGACAAGCAAATCCCTGCACAAGAAATCCTCAACTTGCAACCGTTTCTTTAGTGGCCAGTTACAGGTCCTCAGACAACACTGAAGCAGCCCCAGAATCCAGGCGCTGGGCAAGTCCCTGGGTCACGCGGAGGCCGGTTTCTGACAAATGACCTAACCACAGTGGTGATTCATTTAACAACCATGTAAAATTGGGCACAAGTCATGAAACGGCCGCCTTGATCCTGGGGAGGCTTTGATGGCTGCAAGTGTTTGGTTGATTTTGCACCATTTTATGACTTCCCTTGCCACGGTTGTTAAGGGAGACCGGCTTCCGGTCACAAATACGAGGCAGGTGCCAATGCCTGAATCCTGATCACATGGCCACTGGGAGGCTGCAATGGTCGTAAGTATGAAAAATGGCCGTAACTCACTTTTTCAGGGTGGTGGTAACTTTGAGCGGCCACTGATCCAAGAGTTGAGAGCTGAGGACTGTCTGTAGCCTTTCCTTGCCACTTTATCCTTCTAAAATGCTTCCCCAGGGGGGTTTCGAAGTTTGGTGAAACTGCTCCCTCCTTTGCCTGGAATGGCCTAGGCTTTCCTGCCTGAGCAGGGGGGTCAGACTAGAAGACCTCCGAGGTCCCTTCCAACTCAGATGTTCTGCTATACTGTTAACTCTTCAATGTTTGTTGTACGGGATATTTTCCTTTGAATATTTGCATTAAGAAAAATAGAAAACTCACAAAAAGTTACCAGCCCTGCAGAAAAATGATTTTCAATCAGGCTGAGCCATGCTGAGTTTTTGTGCCCGTACAGATCCTCTGCCCTCATCCTCACAGGTTTTCCTTATTTGGGGGCGAACCCCCCGCCCCCCATAACTTAGCAAAGGTTTCTGTGTATGAGGGACATCAGGGTCCCACAGCAGCAAAGTGGAGGGAGGTCGAAATAAAAGATGGTGAAGGTCTGGAATTATATCCATTATCTCAGTTGAGCATTTGAGCCCCCAGGAGCTCAGAAGGAAATCAGATCCTGTCACACCTGGGCAGGTAAGTTTAGGAAAGAGACGGGACGGCTGACCCTCCCCCATTGGAGCAGAGCGGAGAAGCCCCCATCCCGCTTTCCTTTTCTACCATCGGGGCCGGTGGGTGCTTGAGGGGCGTCCCCTCCCCCACGGAGGCTGCCCTCCCCTCACGCCTTCTCTCTTTAGACGCCCCCCCTCTCTCTGAAGACTCGGAGGATGGCCCCCCTCAGCCTCGGCCTCTTGGTCTGCCTGGCGCTCGCACCCTTCGCAGCCAGTGAGTGTCCTCCCCACCCACCCCGTCACTGAAGGGGGGGAGGGGGCTCTCCCCTTCCTCCGGTGGGCTCTGCAGTTCCACTTCCAAAGCCAACCTGTGGGCATTGGGGGCCTCACCCGTTTCCCGCCTTTGCAGATGCTCAAGCTGACCCCTGCCCCGCCGGCTGGCTCTCCTACAATGGCCACTGCTACGGATACTTTGAGCAGGAGGTGAACTGGCAACAGGCGGAAGTGAGTCCGGGCAGGGCAGGGGGCCTGGCTGGGATTGGGCCCTCTGCATCCGGGGATGGGCAGTGGCACTGCCAGGCACTCAGCCTCGCCCACCCCCTGGCTGCCGAGGGGGGCAATGCCAGGGGAAGAAGGCAACGGGGAATTCTGGGAGTTGAAGTCCCCCCACCTTCAAGTGGCCACGGTTGAGACCCGTTGCTGTGGAGCCACCTTGAAAGCAGTCAGTCGGCTTCCTCTGCAGCCTCTCTGCCTCCCCCTCCCCCCTCCAGGCCTTCTGCCAAAGCCACAACGGCCACCTGGCCTCCATCCAGACCCGCGAAGAGCATCAAGCCGTGGCGGACTTCCTGACTAAGGCTCAGTGGTGGGAGCGCGAGGATGTCTGGCTGGGGCTCTTCCTCCCATCCCAGGTGAGTGACCGGATGGGGCTTCTGGTGACCCTGCCCCCCCCCCCCGCCCGCCCGCTCCTTCCTCCAGTGACTGCTCTCCACGGGTTGCCTTGTGCCTCTAGAGCCGGACCTGGGCTTGGGTGGACGGCAGCCCCCTGGGCTACACCGCCTGGGAAAAGCATTACCGCCGCTCCTGGAAGGCCTGCGCTGCCCTGGACGACTCTTACGGTAAGGCCCAGGGCCAGAGGGTGGGGGGTGGGTGGGCTCGTCTGCGGGACTCCCTGCCCCAAGGAAGCCCACTGGAATGGGGCAAGTGGACTCCCCCTTCACTGGTCTCTGGAGACCCCCCCC